CTCGCTTCCAGATTCACTTATTTAATTTTCCTAATATCCTGTACTTTTTTTTCATTCATTCTTTATTTTTTCTTTTTTTTTTTTCCTTAAAAAACCCTGCCTTTTAAAGTGGCTCTTACTAAAACACACTGTCTCTGCAGGGCCTGGCCAGCATCCCACGTCACCTTGGCCCCTTCGTCCCCACCAGCCCCAGCCACTGTGACACGCGGCAGAGGTGGCTGCGTCTCTCTTCCTGTTTCTAGAAGCCACAGAGTGAGAAGATGATCCAGTTACAGGCAGCCGGGGGGGGGGTTGAGCTCAGCACCTGCCGCAGTTCACGTCAAACCCCTCGGCCTGTTTTTGGGTGCCAGCCGGGGGTGGCAGCGGCCCCCGCCACACGGGGGGCGGGAGGGGGGGGGCCGCGCCCAGCTGGGGTGGCTGCAGCTCCCCAGGCTGGGGCTGTCGCTCGTCCTGGGTTTGCACGGCCCCAGCGTGGCCAATCTGGCCCTTCCGAGGGGTTTCCTTGGAAAGGCCTCGCCTTCCATGAAGCTTCTGGCAACTGTGGGGCCACAGGGCACTGCGGGTCAGAGTGGCAGAGAGATGCGATCTGGGAAGGGGACACAAACCTGGCCGCTCCCTGCAGTCCCTTCCCCCTGATCCCGCAGAATCCAGGTGCCCGGGCAGGCACATCCCAGCCTTATCCCTTCCCTATCACTGCCATGAATTTGCCTCTTCCCTTGCTGACTGGAGCAAAGCCCCTTCCTGCCACTCAGGTTCCCCTGTGCACCATGAGAGCTGTCGGCACGCAGGAATATCCCCCCTCTGCCCTTTGTGTGCTCCAGGAATCCTTTGGGGATGGTAAGACCCAGGATTTGCACAAGCCCCTTTGCAAACACTCGAGAGCTACTGTGCACATTTCAGGGAGGGCAGAAGCGCTTCCAACCATCCCTCATGGGGATTACGGCCCTCAAAGTCTCCTCGGGAGCTTCCAATTCGCTTGAGCTGCTCTTTTGCGACCGAACCGCTCGCTCCCACGTCGAGGAAGCAAAGGCAGAGCCGCGTAGGAAGCTTTCTATTAAAAATTCATCGCGCGCTCCGGCTCCGACCTCTCCGGAGCCGCGCGCTCCGTGGGGCCGGGCGTCTGGATCCGCTTTGCAGCGCGGGGCCGGGGCTCTGTGCGCGGCACGCAGCGAGCGAGCGTGCAATCCATTCATAAATCACACAGCAGATGCCGGGGCCGAGCGGGCGCGCGACGGTGACACTTATTAACCCCTGAGTGCCACGGGCTTTCATGCCGCATGAGATGGGGGAAAAAAAAGCACTTTCTGACCCAAATATAACTTGATGGGTGAGAGAGCAGCTTGGAGCCTGTCCCCCTGCCAGGTCCAGCACTGGCTCTGCCGGGACGGTGCCGAGTGGAGCAGCCACCACATGCAGGGAAAGACCTTGGCACCTGCTCCAGGGCTGGGGCAGCCACTGTGTGTGCTGGGACATGCATTAACCCCCTGGGGACCACAACAGTCCAGGGCCACCTTGTCTTGCATGCTGGCCACCCTGGAACCTTGCGGAGCGCTCTTGCTTGGGGCAGGAGGAGGAGGAGCTGGAGTCTAGGACCAAGCCAGGAAAAACCATCACGAAATCCCCCCCTTCTTTTGCTCCCTGGAGGACTCCAAAGGACCCGGGCGGCTCCTTGGGCTCGGAGGGGTTACCCGGCGCGGTGGCCTCAGCAGCACGAGGGCCGCTGACGTGAACCTCGCGGCGGGGAAGTCACGAAAGCGCCGGGCGCTGCTGCCGGGGGCCGCGCCGCCGCG